CGTAAACAAGCAAGCTACTTTGTCGTCATACTCTTGGGTTTTTTCGGTAAAGTCACGTAGGTAAAAAATGAAAATTTAAATTAATAAAAAGTAAAATTTAAAAAAATCACGACGTTTCGGAGGCAACACAAGCTTCCGTCTTCAGGTGGAACCGTCACAGCCACGATTGCTGTATCAAGTCGCCACCAAAGTCGCTCCTGGCTATGGAAGTCGACCTCCGACTGAACCAAAGATGCCTTGCGCAGTCACGTGACGGCCGGCCGGCCGGTCGGTCGCACCGACCGCATGACTCAAACTCGCGGTCCAATCCGACGTCTCGCTCGCGACCGAAGGCCTGGTTGCATGGGGACGATATTAAAAAATAAACACACACACATGTATATAAATATATAAATCCTGCTAAATTGAAGCACTTTAACAAAAAAAATTCCCGGGCGTGTACAAACGACACTAAATGACTTCTTCTGTCCAAAGAGACATTTTGACGTGGATCGTTAAATGCAGATAAAGTTCACGCGATGAAGAGGCGGATTGTGAGTTTGTGGAACCGCATTTCCCAGCCGTACATGCCCCCCCCACCCCCATCATTGCTTACCCCCTCCTCCCCGCCCCCCATTTCACTCGGGTGGGGTCCAAGGGCCTCAATGGGCGCTTGTGTTGTTGATGCCTCGCCCCCCCCACACTCCCCCCCCCCCCACTCTGCCGCCCCCTCTTTCTGCCTCTCCTCTTTCGGGATTTTGGGGGGGGGGTCGCTCTTTCCGAAAGGTCTTGGACAACGCGAAATGTTGGTACAATTAAAGCTGCTGTCAGTTCAAGCACACGCGATGATGAGGGTTGACTGATGGCGATGTTTGATGCTTTATTGTTGATGGTCATGATTGATGGTGGCTGATGGTGATGATAATTGACGTAGTTATGATTGTTTAATGGTGATCGCTGGCTCATGGTAATGTTGATTGATGATCATGATGACTTAGTGATGATAATTGGATAATGGCGATGCTTGGCGGTAATGATGATTGATGGCGATGGTTCGATTCACGGTGATGATTGATAATGGTGACTGATCGATGGTGATGAAAATTGGCGAATGATGACGATGATTGACTAATTACGATTGATGGTGATGGTTCATTCATGTAGATAATTGGTTGACGGTGATCACGATGCATGTGCATTATGAACAACCAATGTATTCCCCATCGAGATGATTCAAAGGGCTTCCTGTTCAACGGATATCCGAGATAGTTACAGCAGAAAGGCAGAACACGTTAGACAAAGTGAAAACAAAAACACATAGCAATGCTGTATAAAAATTAAACACGTGTACACTTATAAACATACAATTCTAATTGATAGAGGGAATATAAACACGTTGAATTAAAGTAGTTGAGACATTGTGATGATGATGTATGTAATTTAAACTAAACTCTTTATTTTACCAGGTAAGGCCCACTCAGCTATATAGTTCTTTCTCAGAAGCGACACGATGATTTCTCAACGATGTCCCTTATCGTGTAGAAATGTTAAGCAGCCAAATACTCTAAACGCGTGATGTCGATTCTAAATGTGGAGGGGAATAACGCGACCACGGGGAAAGAGACACGGAAACTCCAAATATACAGCAGCAGGCGTCAGGGTTGGGATCGAACCCACGACCTCCTTGCATACCAGGCGAGGTAGTTAACATCTCGCTACTGCGGCTAAAGGAAGCCAGGCCCTGTATGGGGTCTTTGAACGCAATGGGATGGCAACACGTGTGTACTCCTGGCTCGAGTACTACTCGGGACGAGTACAGAATGGACGAGGTAATTCAGGAAGCAATATTACCGTGTCGTATTTATCTGGGTGAGCCCCACCGAATCTCAAAACTCGTCTTCAGGTTCGGACACGGCGAGCGCTCACTCTGACGTGTTACTAACACTTAAAAACAAAAGGCCAGAGCGAGAGAGCGATAATAACGGCAAGAAAATAAATAGAACGCCTTCAAAATCCCACAAAACCAAACAGCCGCGCTGCGTTAAATATTAATGGCGCGGTAGGGGGCGCGTGAATGATGGAGACGATGGTTTTTGATGTGGCCAGCGGTGGTTGCTGCTTCCCCCGCCGGCAGAAGCGACAGCACGCACGGGGCGCCAGAGGTAGGGGGTCGGCTCGGGCACAGGAGTGGTGGGGGCTCGGGCACAGGGGTGGGGGTGGGGGGGAAACCAAAAATATGAAGAAAAACGAAACATTTCTTTCGGATTCGGTAAAACAAAACAAACGCAAATGTTTCGAGAGCCGCACTGCGCGTGTTGAATACAACTTAATGAATAACGTCAAACCATATCTTTGTTTTTTGCAATCACTGTTTTAAAAACGAGCACACGCACGGCGACTTATAATGCCGTATTACAAGCCATTGTTGGCCTTTTAGACGTTCACCGTTTATCGAGAATAATTAGGAGGATTTTATTTTTTCACTTTGCAATTATCGTGCTGGGAGCCACGAAGCAGTCCTTAAAGAGCCGCAGGTTTGCGACCCCTTGGCTAGGGCCAGGAGTAGCCCAGGAACAGAGTTAGGGCCAGGGATAAGGTTAGGAGCAACTTAGCGTTATTGGTAGGGCAACAGGCAGGGGTTAGGGTTATGATTAGGTGTATATGCATGGGTAATGTTAGAGTTACAGCCAGGGTTAGTTGTAGGCATAGGTAGAGTTAGGGCCAGGTAGTGGTAGGCAGGAGTGGGGTTACTGCTCGTGCGCGGTTGATTAGGACTATGGGTGGGGTGAGTGTCTGTTTGACTCGTGTCGTTGATGTACAGCTAGTGTGTGGTGTAGGTTAGAGATAGTGCTTCATTACCTCGTTTGTTGGGGCTGTGGGTCAGGTTGGTGTCTCGAAGGCGAGCGTGCTAAGGGTACGCTCCTTGCGTGGTTGGTTCGGTCTCGGACCGATCGATTCGTTTGTTAAAGCTCGAGGTAGAATACGCACGCTCACCAACGCCCCCGTTCGTGGCGCAGTGCTTAGGCCACTGGGTTGCGAACTCGGCCCGCCTGAGTTCGATTCCCGATCAGGGCCACTCAACATCGGTGACAAGCGATGGGCCTCGCTGCCCTCAGTTGGACTCAACCCCTGAGGTGCATGCGCCTGGTGCGGTGCGAGACCCTCAGCAGTGGGAGAGACAAAGACGGCCGAGCGCGGTCCTGGCCACTACACGCCCCTCGTATGGGGTAGCTGCTCACTTGGCGCAACAAACCTGCGACGGCTATTCACGGGGGGGGGGGGGGGGGGGGTCTTCTACGTTCTTGTGTATCACGTGTCTTCGTGTGTGTTAATTGCATCAATGCTTATGTATCACCCGTTATGTCGCCTGATGAAGCTAGTTGTAATTATTGGCGTGACGTCGTACTCAGATTGCAAATGTTGTGGCTTGGCTCTCCAACACACCGGTGTGCTGTACTAGTACACTACACTATACACTACTATACACTACACTATTATACACTACACTACACACTAGTGCTGTACTAGTGACGAATTGGCCACGTTCTGTTTACGTGACAACCCTTACTAGTTGGCTGTATCGGGTGGTGGCGGGTTTTAACGACACATTTATATATTTACGCGATCTAACCTCCCAAAAAAAAACCTCTTATGGAAGCCACAACGCTCTTTCACACAATGTCCAGCATGTATCGTCCCGTTGCGTTGTGTCCCGTGCCAGTTTTGCCTTCTCGATGTCGCGTGCGGATGTTCTTGTTGTCGTCTATCCTAGGGCTCGCTTGAAACGGAGACGTTTAAACCTCCACGGAATTATCTCCTGCTCTTTAAAAGAGTATCGATTGAACGCAAGCGTGGTCTTCCGGATTGAGACGCGCGTTGAACGCGTCTCATCCTCGACTTTCGCCACGCACCACTGCGGGCATGGTCCGGAAACGCATTACGAGTCGCATCGTTTGCTTAACCTACGACAGCCTCACGTTCAAATTGCAGTTGACACCATCCCCTTCATCCGTTCAATGTTTCTGCAACTTACTTTTGTCACTCGGCCGTGATCAATCTAAACATAATGGGTTGACGTTCTCCAATACTGTGCTGTATTTGAAACGTCTCACGTGACGCATTTGTTTTTTTCTTTGATTTCCAATTGCTCTTCATTGCTGCTGCACTTAATTAGCCTTTTTCGTGATAAAAGTCAACTTTTGCAAATGAGATTCTCATCCCGGTCTCTTGAGCGCTCACGTGGTTCAACAAATCAGCTTCACATGATGACGATGATGATCTTGGGCAGCACAGGCGCTGTCTCCGGTGGGGGGGGGGCTAGGGGTAGTCCCCACCCAGTCACCTCCCGCAGAGGAAATTCTGTCGCAACGCAGCCAGCGGCTGAGTAACTCCCAACACTCAAGGCAATCCACATTGCCAGATATAATAGTTGTAAGCATTATTATACAAAGTACTCGTGCTAATAATGTTTGGGCGGGTGGCGCGGTGGTTAGCGCATTATGCTATGAACCTGGCGACCCACGAGTTCGATTCCCGGCCACGGCTACCATCAGTGGCGAGTGATATTCGAACCTGTTCCTACTCCCGCACAACCTTCCCCAGCAGTGAGGATGACGACGACTTAAACCGTTGAAGCCACCAACCGAGATAAAAAGCTGCAGGAAGAGTTCCCCCCCATATAGCCTTTAACAGACTTAAGGGCAAGTGCTGTTAGCGAGCATATTTGAATGTCGGCACGGCACCCCAACGAAGGGGTGGTTGGTTAGCACCACGCCCGGCCGTCTTTGTCTCCCTGGTAATTATGTTCACACACCGCACTAGGTATTCATTTAAGGCCTAGTGGAGGCCCAGGACCGGTCCAGTTCATCGTCACTGATGTCGTTCGTGAGCAAGGAATCGAACACGGAACGCCGGGTTCACAATAGCGCAGTGCGCTTGCCACTTGCACCACCGCTCCCCACACCACGCACGCGCGTGCGCATTCGGAATGCACTCCAAACACGAGGCAAGGGAAATAGAAATCATTTACGAGTTAGTTTTATTTTTTCAATTGCTTCATATTTTCTGTTTAAAAATATGTACAGTACACAATAAGAAGGGGTATTTGGGGGGAGGGGGGGGGTCGCTTCGTACCGTATTGTACATTCATGCCGTGTGGCGGGAGGGGGGGGGGGCGAGGTGGGGGGCGAGGTGAGGGGGCGAGGTGGGGGGGGGGGCGAAGGTGGGGGGGGGTCGCTTATACAAAAACCCAAAGCGGCGAATACAAAACTGCGGGGAACCAAACAGAAGAAAAACGTTCACGTATCAATCGCGCATAGCAAAAATACAGCACGCGTCTGCAAGGCATAGCAAATGACATAGCCACAATACTGCATCTCCACATACAAAAATAAGTTTGGCTGTGTTTTTTTCCGTGTTACGTTCTCGTGTGTAAATGTAATTGTCTCTTCATCGCACGCACTCTCTCTCTCTCCCCGCTTAAAGTCTCCGTGTGCATTTCATGGCGTTAGTTTCGTCTAGTTAATATGTACACAACAAAAATACACATTTTTTTGTTATATATACAGAGGACTGTGTAGAGGGGGTGTGTGGGGGAGAGGGGTATGGCAATCACGGGTAGTGGCTTCCACTCGGACAATCACTGACTGGACGATGGAATAAAACAACGACGATAATAATACAAACTTAAATTATTCATCCAAGAAAGCCTCCGAGTCTCAAAAGACTCAGTCTTTTTTTCACGAGGATGCTGTATTCTGGGGATTTTTTGGCCAATTCCTGTTTTTCAAATAAAGGAGTGGTTTTGTGTGAGTGGGAGAAACCCGTAGGACACCCCTCTTGGGGGTGGGGGGGGAAGAACGATTTAAAAAAAAAATCCGCGTAGAAAGATTCGCGAATACCGCGAGCATGCTTGGGAGTTTCACACGCAACTCTCTGCGTGATCCGCTAACCATCCATTCCGAGGCACTGGATCGTAGATGCGCGCGCCAGCACGGCTGGTGTGAAGTTGGCAAAACGATCTCTTAAAGCCGACGGCAGAAAAATAAAAAAAACGGCAAAAATAAAATGACAACTCATAGAGTTCCATGGAGGCTCCGAGTACCTTTGCGTGACAATTGATGAGGGTGCATCAATGATCGTGACGATGATGACGATTTTTTTTTTTATTCAACCGTCCACTCGAGGAACCGAAAGTTTAAAGTGTAGAAGTGGTTTGTGGCGAGGACCGGTCACGTGGGTGACCCGAGCGACTTGCATTTTCACTCGAGTACAGTCGACGATAGTACCTGCGAAGGCAGTGGTAAAATGTTCATCGTTGCAGCCCTATTTTGCGTTTCTATCGGCTTCGTCGATTTTTCATGGGGCGAGAGGAGTTAGGGGTGCAGCCGATGGCGGTGTGCGTCGATCACAAGCTGGCTTCTTTTCCTCTGAGCGTGGTTCGCGATGCGGATTCATTCACTCACGCACGCACACACACACACAGACACGTTCACATGTACGCACGCACGTGCGCGCGTGGCGGTGGAGATGTTAAAGAGTTCTCAAAAGTTCGTGCACAAACCGCATGCGACATTGACGCGACATCGGAGCCACTGTGCGCTGCTGACACTCTCTCAGTCTCTTTTGCCTCCCTTCTCCGCCTCTCTTTCCACAGCGTCGTTAGCTGTCGAGTGCGCAGGCAGTGCAACTTCACCCGGTGCCCACTGCCCACCAGGCTACATTCTCTCTCCGTCTCTTAGACCCTCTCTCTTCCTCTTCGCCCACTTGCGCACCGACGCTGCTTCTCCCCTCTCTTAGTCTCTGTCTACCCGGAGAGCCCCTTCTCCTTCGTGGAGTCTTGTCTTGCCCGCAAGAGTGTCTTCACACGACTTTGTCACCTCCTCCTGCTGCTGCTGCTGCCAAGGTCGAGGCAGAGGGGCAGGGGCACGTGGGTGGCCGAGCGGCCTTGCCCCCACCGCCCCCCGGCTCTCGGCGAGTGGGAGACGAGAACTCAAAAAAAATGGGAAAACTGAACAAACGACCACAACAGAGCGGACGCGAAGGCCGTCGCCACGGCCTGCTGCTTTCCCTTCCTTCAGCACGTTCTCACGGGCACGATGGACGCCGAGGGCAGGGAAGACAGGGTGCTGCCCCCGAACTGCGAGCTGCCGAACGACACGCCGAGCCCCGAGCTCAGCTGGCTGGGCAGTGACGACACAGACGACAGCGACGACGACGACAGCGACGACGTCACCGACGATGAGGACATCAGCGAGAGCGACGCCGTGCCGAAGTTGATCTGCATCGGCCCGCACGCACTCGAGGAGAGCATGCCGCTCGCCAACGTCAGCGACGACGGCAACGGAGTCGACAACGACGACGACAATGACGACGACGAGATGGACGGCGTCAAGGAGGAGGTCGAGTAAGAGGTCGAAGAGGAGGTGGTGGAGGACGGGACTGAAGAGGACGAGGACGAGGCGGTGGCGCTGCCGCCGCAGACCTGCAGCCCGGCATCGTCCACTTTGTTGCCCTTCCTCTCCTTCTGCTTGGCGTGGATCTTGGTGTGGCGCTTGCGCTCGTCGGAGCGCGCGAAGCGGCGGCCACACGCGTCGCACGAGAACGGCTTCTCGCCCGTGTGGGTGCGCACGTGCGTCGTCAGGTGGTCACTGCGGCTGAAGCTGCGCATGCAGATGCGGCACTGGAAGGGCTTGTGGCCCGTGTGGATGCGCAGGTGGCGCGTCAGCTCGTCCGAGCGTGAGAAGCGACGCTCGCAGCCGTCCGCCGGGCACGGGTAGGGCCGCTCGTGCGGCGGGGTCTTGCACGGCCGGCTGGCGCGCTGGTGCCTCTGCGCAGACTTGCGCGGCGGTGCCATCGGCGGTGGCGCTTGAGCCATCTGTGGCATGGCTTGCTGCTGTTGCTGCTGCTGTTGTTGCTGCTGCTGTTGCTGCTGCTGCTGTTGCTGCTGCTGCTGTTGAAGCTGCTGCTGTTGCTGCTGCTGCTGTTGCTGCTGCTGTTGTTGAAGCTGCTGCTGAAGCTGTTGTTGTTGCTGTTGCTGCTGTTGCTGCTGTTGCTGCTGCTGCTGCACAGCATTTGAGAGGCCGACTGACCCTGGCTGAGGGTACGGGCTGCAACTCTTCTGCGGGAAGGGAATGAGCGACTTCTGGTTGCTGTACGCCTTGATGGCCTTGAGCGGAGTAAGCGCCGGCTGCGGCTTGTGCTCGGAGAACACGCTCTTGAGGTCAGCGGGGAGGCCCAGTTCCTGCATCGGGAAAATCTGCGCAAAGTCGCTCACGGTGGTGAACGCGGTGGACGAGTCGGCGCACTTGACGCCTGCCAGCGTGTACTCGGGAGGAGGCGCATACGCGTGCATGATTCCGCCGCCACCCCCGCCAACGCCGCCGCCGCCGCCACCGCCGACCATGGGGCTGTTCATGTAGATGGGTGGCGTGAACTCCATGGTGTCCCCATAGCCCGAGCTCGAGACGCCGTACAGCTCGTCGGCTTCGCTGGGAGACAGGGAGCCTGAAGACACGCTGGGACATTGAGGAGACACCTGTGACTGCATGGACTGCATCTGTCCCTGCTGCTGTTGCTGCTGCTGCTGCTGTTGCTGCTGCTGCTGCTGTTGCTGCTGCTGTTGTTGCTGCTGTTGACTCACGGCAAGCCCGGCTGCGTTTTGGAGGAAACTGAAGAAAGGTTCGGTGAGACAGCTCTGCATGCCAGTGCCGTTGTCCTGCAGCGTGATCTTGGCGATGTAGTTGAAGGGTTGTGACAGGCCCGACAGCTGGTTTCCGCACTGGAAGCTGGACGAGTAGATGTCCAGCTTTGGGTTCACGGTGATGTCAATCATCGCGTCTGCGTGTGCACATGTCACGATACAGTATAGGTTAGGACATGTCAAATTCGGTTCACGTACAGTACGTACATACATACACACGTGCACGCACGACACATGCCGTGTATTTATGTAATAGTACATTTACATCCCTTTGTCCTACAATACTGGATTAAGGCTTCTGCTGCATGCTGGTTATGATGGTTGTTTGACCATACTTCACCATGGTGGTCATTGCGAGTATCGGTGATGGAATGGAGCGGGGGGGGGGGGGGGGATGACGCCGGGGAGATAGCAGCGAGGGAGCACCCAGAACCGGTGGAGATATCAAGTGATGTGTCAGCCATGGCCCGGAATCGAACTCAGGGTCCACACGGTTTATATCGCCAACCGCTGCACCACCGCTCCCCCATAGCTAGCGTACTGTATATATATATAAACCCTACACATAAAAAAGGCGGCGTTGTGTAAAACAATTCAATCTGCGTTACGTTGCACGGCGCGGCTATTGAGCCGCTGCACGTGTTGATTGGAATGAGCGGCGCGCTTCGTGACACGTGCATTGCTCTTACGGCTCTCGGGAGAGTGAACCTGGGGTTAATGCCTCATCATCGCCTCTCTCGCTACCCCCCCCACTCTCAAACCTATGGACATTGCCAGTTGCAATCCCACTCACTCAGCACCAATCGCATAAAGCACACCACTTGCGGCTGCTGTTCGTCTAAGCTAACACGCGAATTCATCAGTGCTGCAGCATTGGTGGTGTATTGCTGCTCGAATTGTGGATACTGTGCATAGCTTCTGCTGCTGCTGCTCCCCGCCTTCACCAATCCCGTGCTCACCGGCGTGGTGAAGTATGGTCAAAATAACGCGAGCGGGGAAGGCGCTCATCCAGCAGTGGATTGACACCAAAACGGCAATGCGCGTGCATGTTGCAGCCGTGGCTTATGCACAACGCAGCACATTGTGCACGCACCACCGCAGGTGAATGAGCGAGCGGGTCAATAGACGCGTTTTGCTGTCCATTGGAGCAAAATAAAGACCCCCCGCCCCCCCCCCCCCTTTAACCAGCGCAAAAACACCTGCCGTCACGTTTTAATGACCTGTTATCCGCGATGGTTAATGGACCTGTTATTCAATGTGTCAATACATGGGAGGCGTGTTCACATCCAGCGTGTGCATCAGCGGTGTGTGTGTGTCAACAGCACACACACACGTGCATCAGCGCACACACACACACAGTAGACATGGATATTACAAATGGGAGCCTAAAACTGCGTCCCGGTGTTTCACTTAGCTACGTTTTACAATGCACCGGCTTACAAGGCACGCATACAGTCGAAACGATGCAACTTTTTTTCCTCTCTTTCTGTAGCAATCGCATATTTAAGATGCAAAGCTCCACCTTATTCCAAACCGGCGTAGCATTCGCAATGCGTTAATACAAAAAAGAAAACACTCAAAATACAATCCACATTCTGTAATATATTCCGTATAATGATTACCCCTCTCCTCCCTCCCCCGGCGGGGGGGGGGGGTCCTCGTTCCATCTCTTTCGATCATCCACGTGTTCCACGTCCCCTTATCCCATGGGAGAGCGCATTAAGAGGGTGGTGATGATGATGAAGTCGTAGGGTGGAGGATGACAATTTGCTCGGTTCGCGCAGCATCAAACCCAAAACCTACACGTGTCAACTCCCCCACCACCCACCCCACATGTCACCTCTCTCTCTTTCTCTCACCTGAGCCCTGAAGCCCCAGGTGGTCGTAGGCGTCCGCGGAATCTCCGGGGAACATTGGCTCCCCTCCGGCCGGCTCGGACGCCTGCTGCCCGTGGTCCATGGCTTCGGCGAGGTCGGGCAGGGAGATGGCGAGGCTGCTGAGAGACACGGGGACCCGCTCAGCCTCGAGGGTTGACATCACCGCAGGGCGGACGATTGCTCGGTTGGCTTCGCCTTGATTTGCTGCTGCTGCTGCTGCGGCTGGTGCCGAGCCGTGGCGTTTGTTTTTTGTCGTTTGCGTGATTTGTCAACATGCGCTATTATCGTATTTTTTTTATGGTAAAATCAACTAGCGCTGTTCGCTTCAAGGACGATTGCGGGTATTTTTGTTGTTGTTGTTGAATTATTACGGTGCAAAAATCGGCCGCATTTTATCACACTCGTCCCGCGAATTGTTGTTGCGTTGTTTCGCTTCATCAATTATTATCCCCTTGAAGGCGCTTAAATGACGGGACACCTTGCAACTGCTGCTGGTAAATACGACTGCTGCTGCTTGCAAGCCGCTCGCCACCGCATCGACTAACCCCTCCAAAAAGCAACCTCCCCGAAAACCAACAATCAACAACCACCCCTTCACACCCCGACCCACGCACGCCGCGTCAAAGAGCGAGCGAGCGAGCGAGGAATTAAAAACTTTAAAAACTACAACCGCGTTCCGCGAGAGAATTTTCCTCAATGAGCCGAGCGGCGCTACGAGGCCGCTACTTATACCCGCGGCCCCCGCCCGACGCGGGGCGTGACGTAGATGCCCATATAAGGCCCGAGGCCCGGGCGCACCGAGAGCCCCGGCGCGCCCGAGCCTCCCCCCACCCACCCACCCGCCGCCGGTGCGCGTGACGTCGCCTTCACGCGCCACTCCCCCCCCCACCAGCAGCGGCGGACGAGTCCACTGGCCGCCGGCGGGGAGGGAGGGGTACGGAAGGATACGCCTACTGGAGACGGTGGCGGCAATCGCGAGATTTGTCGCCGTTGCTGAAATAGATCGCATTGAGCTGCTGCGTTGTCGCTGACCGACGCCGTCGTTGTTGTCGATGGAAATAGAGGCGAGTTGTTACGCCGCGCGCACGCTTTCGTTTATGTCGGTACCCCCCCCCACCCGTCCCCTGTTCGTCGTTTGGGCTCGTCCGATTTCGGAAGTCCGTTGGCCGTATATGGTTAGGCGCCGGAAACGGGGCGGGATCCTTATATGGCAGTCGGTTCCGGCAGGGGCGCGGGACCCAGCGAGAGGAGTCGCGGGCGGAAATATCCTTATAAGGAGCTCACGTCCGCTACGTCACGCACCGTGCCAGCAGCGAGCGGGGAGGGAGGGAGGAGCGGGGGGCGCAGGGAATCCGTGTGTGTGGGGTGCGTGTGTAGGGTGTACGCTGTGTGAATGTATGTCAGCGGTGTGTACGTGTTTGGCTGTGGGTATATATCTGTGTGTGTGTGTGCATGTGTATATGAACTGATTTTGTGTAGCGGTATCTATGCGCGTATTTGCGTGCGTAGGACAATTTTTTTTATTGAGTCTCCCCTAGGTCAGCTCAGCCTAAAATGCTCACACATCGGGATGCAAGGGCGATTAAACAAGGATAATTACATATTAACAATCTGCTCCGTCATTCACCTCTTAAGACGTGCACGCTAACAGGATCGTTATGTAAACTCTGCAGTCTCTATAACGCGCAATCGGGCAATCTTCACCTTTTTATCACGACAATTATTTTATTATTATTCTTGTGTTTTCAACGTTTGCATGGCTGATGTGGGAACCCCCTGTTAGATGCTGCATCAGATCAGCGCTGACAGGACCCGTGTGTGCGTGCGTGCATGAGCGTGCGTATGTGTGCGTGCGTGTGTGTGCGTGTGTGTGTGCGTGTGTATGTGTGCGTGTGTATGTGTGTGCGTGTGTATGTGTGCGTGTGTGCGTGTGTATGTGTGCGTGTGTGCGTGGGCGTGTGTGCGAGTGTATGTGTGCATGTGTATGTGTGCGTGTGTATGTGCGCGTGTGTGCGCGTGCGTGCGCGTGTGTATGTGTGTGCGTGTGTATGTGTGCGTGTGTGCGTGTGTATGTGTGCGTGTGTGCGTGTGTATGTGTGCGTGTGCGCGTGTGTATGTGTGCGTGCGTGCGCGTGTGTACACGCGTGTACGTGCATCTTCGTGAGCGCGTGCGCGCGCGAGTGTTCCCTGCACTGCATTGCATCTTCTACAGAAATAGACAGCAAATAACAACAAACACAATACATTCACACACACCAGACGCACGCGTCGCGGGCTTTCGATGGCACGGCACTATGGCAAGGGCGCGTACCCTCCGTGGCAATGATTTCAAAGCAAGCCAGCAGCATGTGGACGTGCAGCCACACTCACGCGAGATTTGCATACCTATAATTATCGGAGAAAATGACGCGGATTCTAAACTCTCTGCCATAATTGGTCACGGGCTAACAACCCCCTTCTTAAAAGCCAAGCATTTGGCAAGCCTTTCGATTCGATGCGATGTCTATGTAAAACACGTTCGCATCTCAATAGACGCTGCGTGATTATATAAACGAGAAAAAAACCCGATGTCAACAGAAAATAAAACAACGTATTGCCTCGTCGGGATATTCCGCGTTTTAAGGACCGATGTCTGGGTTCGAGACCGGCAAAGGAGCCTCCGGGTTTGTCTACGTGATCCGAATTCTGCTCGGCGGAGCGGGGGATGTGATGGGGAGAGTGGGAGGGGGTGAGAGTGGGAGAGGCAGGGAAATGCCCGTGCAAGCAGCAGCAGCAGGAGGAGGAGAGATGGAACAGAGCGGAGATTCTGTAAACCACAAGTCTTGCAGCACGCTGACGAGCTCACATTTGTTTTCTTACCTCGTCAATGCGTACGTTACGCGTCGCGTGAGTGTGTCTGTGTGCTTGGGTCGGTGTGTATGTGCGTGCAGGTGGGTGGGTGTATGTGTGCGTGTGTCCCTGTGTTTGTATGTGCGTGTGCGCACATGGATGCTCGCTAATAGCACTTGCCCCAACGGTCTGTTGAAGGTGCAATGGGAGGGGTATGTCTTTGTGTATACTCGATACCTATGCATACGTTATGTATATGGACGAACTGTGGTGCAGCGTTTGGCGCACTGCCCTACGAATCCGACAACCTGGGTTCGATTAATCTTCTCTTTAAATTGATACCCAGCTGGAGCAGCGCTGTGAGCAAAATCTGCACTGCGCGTGAGACAATGACCGCCGGGCATACACCTAAAACACATCTAGCTTTAAATAACAATCAGAAGAATAACACAATATAAAGATGCAGCCCTGACATCGCTTGCTCTCTCCACTGTTGGTGCATAGTGCTCCACTAAAGAAAGGGCCTTTGGCCCACCCTTCTTCCACGCTGGCTAGACTTGTTGAAAAGGTGCGAATACTCAGAATCAGGAATCTGTATTTATGCTGGAGGAACACGGTGAGCTCCAACGCTCCGTTTTCACAGATGTCCAGTTTATCCCACCACACGTGACCTGCCGAGTAACTCTGAACACAGTCATACTGCTGGGTGGAAGTCCAGCGTGCTCACCATCACACGGCTGGTGGCATTCCTTTGACATTTTTTTTTGTTGAAGGGAAAAATAATCGCCTTGATTCTGGATGTAGCCTTCCCTGGATGTATATCCCTCCCTTTATCCCAGGTCTCCCTCACAAAGAGATGTCTCGTCTCAATGGATTACTGACAAGGCACAATGCACTTTTGTAAAACCTATTGTGTGCCGAGATTCGGCACAATAGGACACTACAGCGTCATGAATGTCTCGGTCCTGGATATGAATATACAGCATCAGTACGCTGTTTGGACCACGTGCCTCCATTAGTCTACTTGTTGGTATCTCTGTAAACCAAGCGACTCCGTAGTCTACTTGTTAGCATGTCTGCTGGACGAAGGCCTCCCCAAATCGCCGCCATCCATCCTTCGCGAGATGCAACAATCCACCCAGCACGTGCACACGAGGCGATCTCCTCCCTCCGTCTCAGCCACGGACGTCCCTTTGGGCTCGTTCCCACTTCAGGCTGCCACTCCGACGTTCAACTCACCCAATTGCCATCGCCCCTCGCGTCTCTTCGCCGAGAATGAACCCACAGAGATACTTTAAAGCCACAGATCCCACGTTTCTCCACCGTTACATTTACGTATTGCGAAACCTCCTCTAAGCCACGTGTTCCTCTGTGTCTCCATGCCACCACAGGCATGCGCGCGCATCATCTCCATGCCGCCTCTACCTCCAAGTTTTATTCATGGCCAGTTGTCAGAATTCAACGCATCACGACACTGCAACGGCAGCTGGCTGCGTGTGTACACAGACGAAGGACCCCCGCCGTGTAGACTACAATAGACCGTTGGGGCAAGTGCTGTTTTGCGAGCACCTACTGTGGATACCACGCGTCCGACGCGGACTGCTGGGGCATCGGCTGGCTCGTCACGGCATCGTTGGTGGCGGCGCGCGCGAGTGAACCCGAGGCAAATCGTGGGCCCGAAACGATTCTCCCTCCCATCCTCGCGATTCGATTAATTATGAAGATTTCGGAATCGGGATTTGAATGTTTAGGAGGGTTCTGTGATGTGTTTTTTGTTTATATAGCCGCTACACTCCTCGTTGTAAGTAGGGATGAATGTCGGTTTGACGAATTAGAGATTAAATTTGAGTTAAGAATCGGTTGTTTTGGGGGGGTTCAACACCGTCGTAAATGTAGCGGCCACTCGTAGCTGCGGGACTCACGCGAACCCATTACTCTACATATTTTGCATGTTCTCCAGGTCCTCCGGTATTTCCCTCCACATTTAGAATCAACATGCGTTTCGAGTATTTATTTTGCTGCTCTACATTTCCACATGGTAAGCTACTTCGTTGAGCTATTATTTGTGACCAGGTCGCTTCTGAAAAATATCCATACAGCTAAGTGGGCCATACGTGGTAAGATAAAAAGTTTCGTTTATCTATGAATCTGCAAAAAATGTCGATCCTATACGCACTTATCGACAAAGAAGGGTTTATAGATATCAACGATGTATCGTTGTGCACGTGTCGTGCGTGATCTTACATGAACCGACGAATCTATTGTAATCGATATCAGCTCGTTACGAATCTCCCTCCTCCTCCTCCCACGTTTCAAATCAGTACAGTGGCGACGGTCGCGTGTGTGTCAATAGAGGAGACCTTTGCTCGACTCGACGTTTTTACTGCTCTCCGAGCCGCCAGTTTTTGCGGTTTTACGAGCGACTCAGCCTCTCCGTGACCCCTTACCTGGCCGTCTTGCCCAAGTACACGTCTGTGGACACACGTTTACGATTATTATTATGACTAGCATCCCCTCGGACGAGTCCGAACCGTCCGTTCGTCCCTCCGGACGCGATGTCCTGCCAGCCAGCCAGCCAGCAAAACTCGATCATCAGCGGTGTGAGAGGGAGGCAGAGCCCTGGGTCCACCGTTCGGGTCAGGTCACGGGCCACTCGTTCGCAATGCGTGACGCGGTCTGTCGCTGACCGCATCCACTGAGTGGGGTTGTAGCGGTCGCATTGGTCCCAGGCTATATTCTACTATTGTGCATGGTGGCTGCAATGCGTTCAGGAGCTCGATGCGAATGTCAATGTTTGCTGCCGGCCACGGCGAGAGGGCTTCAGCAGAGAGAGAAAGTTCGTGTCGCTTCGCTGTTCCCCCGGTGAAGGAGCGCAGGC